AAAGGTGAGGATGGACATAGTCAACGAAGCTAACGGAACAACAAGAACTGAATGGGTGAGAATACAATATGACCTGCTGCCTAAATATTGCAGACATTGTAAACTTCAAGGGCATGATCAATTTGAATGCTGGAGAATACACCCTGAACTATATGTGGAGAAGGAGAATGACAACCATGCAGATACAACTAAGAAGCAGGACATAGGGAACTTACAGCCTATAATGATGTTATCTAGTGGAAAGGTCGTGGGTAATGTGAATGTTACAGCAAAAGAGCAATGGAAGGAAGTGAAGGACAACAGAGTTAGAAATGTAGTAAATCAAAATACTAGTCTCACTAATAATGAAATGGAGATGGCACCACCTAAGCAGTTTGAAAATAATAAGAACAAGGAGGGTACAAGCACTGTAGAGAGACAAGTAGAAGCACAAAACAACAATGATAAGGATTTGGAGGCAGTAGACAATGAAGATAATGATCATGTTCAAGTAGCTAACAAGTTTGAAATATTACAAGGGATGGATGAAGAGGAAGAACCTGTTAATCAATTGGCAATGGTGGCAGCTAATGTAGCAACAAACATTTCAGCACTTCATAACCAAGAATCTACAAGGCAAAAACAAAAGAATATGGTCAATAATTGGGAAAAGTTAAATCCAACAGCACAAGCTTTTCATCTTAACTCATCGGGGATTATTTCGAATAATGGTCTAGACAATGGAAAGGAGGCATCAAAATCAAAAAACGATACCGCACAATGGGTAGAAAGAAGCTTCAAGGATAAAACAGGAGAAGGAATTATGAAGATCAATAAACCATGCCATGAAATCCCATCACAAGATACATTAGTGAACAAGGTACTTAATAAAAATCCAAATTCTCAAGCAGAATGGTCAAAATCGTCTCCATTTAAAGAAAGAGTGCAAGAATGTGGAGGCAGGCTATGGGAGGCACAAAGGGAATACGATTCATAGGAGAACGAAGTACCACTAGGAGCACAAGCTGATGATGAACCCAATGAGAATGACAAAGAAGAAGATGAGCAAAGTGTAAATGGAGAGATTCATGCCAATGACAACAATACAACTGGTTTTCATTTAATAAAGGAAGGATCAAAAAATGTTGAGCACATCAATAATTTTCAGACAGCAGAAGTCACAGAAATTAGCAACTATGAAGGAAGAGGCCCAGAGGTAAATGATCCTGGAGGAACAGAAGAAGATCAACTTCAGAAATTACAAGAAGATACACAAGGACACATCACAACAGAGAAGGAGAAACAACCAAAACAAAAAACAGAAATAGTATATATTACTGGTACATTGGAGAAAAATCAGGTGCAGCTATTAAAAAGAGGAGAAGAGAAAGCCTTGGTCCCTAAAAAGAATGCATTGGGACCTACATCAGCAGCGAAGGAAGACAATGAAGAGGGAGAAGAACCTGGTAAAACAGGATACGACATGGATTAAGAATCAACTACCCAACACCTTATGAATGCTGCAAGGAAAGGTGATCTATCACCTACGCAAGTGGAAAAGGCAAAATCAGTAGCAAAAGGTAAGAAGAAGCAACAAAAAGATAATTTTGCAGCACCAAAAGCTGGGGTGCACACAAGGAGAACGCTAACTAAATCCAACAATCAGTGATGAATGCTCTCATCTGGAATATAAGGTCAGTCAACACACAGCAGGTCTTTGAAAGGTTGACAAAGATGCATAAGCAAAATCACTATGATTTTGTAGGATTAATGGAGCCAAATCAACAAGCAAAAAAACTGGAAAGGTACAGAAACAAGATAGGACTTGCACAGGCAATTTCAAATGTATCAAACAAGATCTGGGCTTTTATAGATGAGGTATTTGAGGTAACTGTTATGTACAATATGGTGCAACAATTAACACTAAGATTGTTTCATACTGAAACGCATGTGGAGTTTGTCCTAACATTGATATACGCAAAATGTGATGCAATTGAGAGGATAGAATTATGGGACTCATTATATGCAATGGCAAGGGATATGGATGCATCATGGCTTGTAGGAGGTGATTTCAATGTAATATGGGACGAAGAAGAGAAGTTTGGTGGGTTACCTGTGTCATTGAATGAAATTGATGATTTTCGACACTGCATCAACATTTGCAATCTATTCGACCTTGGATTTAAAGGCAACATATTTACATGGTGGAATGGGAGAGCAGAAGAAGACTGTATATTCAAAAGACTAGACAAATGTTTGGCAAATGGTGAGTTCCAACAAACATTTCCAGGAATAGAGGTGCAACATTTGTCAAAGNCCAAATATTTCCAGGAATAGAGGTGCAACATTTGTCAAAGACTGGCTCTGATAATAGTCCAATGTATCTGAAGTGTGATTTTGAGACTCCACCTATAAAAAAACCTTTTATGTTCTTGAATATTTTGGGTGGAACATGCGACTTTTAAAGATGTGGTGAAAGAAAATTGGTCTGCTGATTTCAGTGCAAACCCTTTTATTCTTTTTAATCACAAGTTAAAAAAATTAAAGAAGGCCCTATTATTGTGGAGTAAGGCTACATTTGGAGATATTTTCCAAAAGATAGCAAGTATGGAAGAGGTAGTGATGGTTCATGAAGCAGAATTTGAAGCAAATCCTACAGGGATGAACAGGGAAAGACTACAAAAGGTTCAGGCAGAATTGATCAAATGTCTGGCACTAGAGGAGAAATATTGGCAACAAAAGGCAGGCATGACTTGGTTCAAGGAAGGGGATAGGAACACAAAGTTCTTCCACGCACAAGTGAGAGGTAGGAGGAAGAGACTTAAACTTAACAGAATTTAAAACAGAGGAGGAACCTGGATTGAAGAAGAACAAGAAATTGCAGAAGAGGCTATCAAATTCTACGAGGAACAGTTCACAGAAGCAGCTACTCCTGCATCATTTGATATCGTAGAGCATGTTCCTAATCTGATTAACTCTGAGCAGAATGCAGAATTGATTAAACAACCAACAAAAGAGGAGGTTAAAGTGGCAGTACTTGGACTTAATTGTGATAGTGCTGGGGGGCCAGATGGTATGACAGGAAAATTTTATCATTCTTGTTGGGACTTAA